TGTAAAGGCTGGAAAATGAATGCGAACGGAAATATAATCCATGAGAAATATGTTTCAGACAAAGACAACAACTGGTAAGGTATATGACATACAAAGCAGAGCCTGTTGCTCCATTAAGTGGAACAGGTGGGACAACGTTAGGGGGAGGTGAAACATATGATTTGCTTGTGACTTCTTTGTGTCCCAGTATAAAGTAAAGTCTTTCCTGTGTATGGTGTTACTCTTCCTTGCGAGCAATAAATAATTCTTAAAAAGTAGATATAAAAGACAGATATTGTGTGGTGAGTACTTCACTATGACCATTTCACCACCACCAGACAGCATCAGGTTTTATGAACAGTCTTGATGACAGGGTCCTGCAGTGGAGCAAAAATAACAAGGTGAGTCCATTTCTATATAGTTGATATTCATGGTCTCCAAAGGATTATTTGACCTGTTTTTGTGACCCCGAGGTCTTTCCTGTAGTACCACAGTCTACTTGTACACAAGAAATATTAAACTTTACTGAAGATTTACTGTAATTCACTGATGAGTTAGTTCAATTCAAACTATGAGTTTAAGTTTATTAACTCAAACAGTTTAAGTATGAACCGAAATATTTGATTTAAGTAACTCAAGTATTTATTGTTAATTTAATTTTGGTTAATTAAGTTAATTGTAACAATTCAATTAAAACTAGTAAGTATATTACACTTACAGCATTTCCAGCATTTCTCCAAAGTTTTTAAAATGCGTTAACAAAATTTATCAGAATAAAGTAACTTTAATGCATTTTCTTTATACAAATGTTACCACTTAAGTTGAATTTACTCAGTTTTCTCACACTAAAGCAAATTATTACATTACAAACCTAATCAGAACAGACGTATGCTAAAAACAATTTATAATGAATTGATTATCCAAATGATAATAATAACAATAATAGAAAAATCCTTAGCTAAAGGGGATTGACCATTAAGGCAACACCCAGGAAATAAAATTGATTTTTAACCCAATTACAAGTTACTAAAATTAAAACTAAAATTGTTGTTGTTATATGTTGTTAATTCTGTCCAACACTTTCCCATTGCCTGGTGTAATTAACATTGCATCTTTGACTGGCTCCTTCTAATCTTATTCTTTTGTATAGAACACTGTATGTGTTGTTAAGATAAACTTAAACTAACAAAATTCCTTAATCTTGCAAATGCAGGAAATAGCATATTCCATACATTCTAGCATCAAAAGTTGTTAAAAGATTGCTTCACAATCTTTCACATTTGTCTCAATAGTCAGGCACCCACCCATTGAACCAGCTTTTGCCTGCTGTAATCATCCCTCTTGTTCATACACTTTCAATGTAAGGGATGGGTCCAAACTGAGAGTAAAGATTTCTGCACACTTAGATCCATGATATATATAACTTTATATTTTATCAAGCTTTCGATCTTTTCGAAATAAAGTGATGGACACATAATGTCCCTTTGAATAAGCCGCTGTGCCCTTAAAATAAAAGATTTCCTTATTAAACTAGATTTCCAAGGGTCTGTCATCACGCTGGAATGTGTAGTGCTACCACAAGTATATTTGTACCAAAGAGGTTCAGACAGTTAATGTTGTTAGCATCTTTGGTGGAACTTCAACAGATGGGTAGTTTGATTACTGTAGTCAGCCATAAAGTGTGCAGATAAGCTCAGGTTGCAGTATAATAGTTACTATGTGTTGTGTTTGCTGCCACAGAAAATAAATAAAAAGTCGCTGATTATGTACTCTTCACAGCAGTGTGAAAAGCTAAAGTTAACTAGTGTTAGTTAAAGTTAAAGTTAAAGTCATGAGCCGGGCTAAAGACAATTAAAATACCCTAAACAAATATGTTCATGAGCTGGAAGGTCAAATGCAATAAATGCAATCACAAGGAAAAATGCAATAACTGCTAGCAGCTAACTAGCTAATGCACCACACAATAAAGTTACCCACAAGCCCCCCTTTCTTAATGATGCAGTTTGGCAGTGGGTGTGGTAACCAGTGGCAGAGGAAGTATTTAGTATATACTGTGAAAATAGTTAAAAGTTAAAAATAGTACATTTCTGTCATTGTGCAGTAAAATGGTCTCTGTCAGTGTTTCACAACTATATACAGTGTTTTAGGGCTGTATTAAGGTTGAGATATTTTTTTAATATTATATACTGCAATGCCACACTAAATTTGCATATCTGAAAATAATATGAGATGTCAACAGTCTGAGATCAACAAATAAAAGTGGTTTCAAAGTTACAGCCTTTTTAGCACCTGCATCAAAGCGTCTCTGGAACGCAGCAACAACTAGTCAGTTCAGACACAGCATTGTTACACAGAAATAAGGTAATCTTTTTGAGTAACACAGGAAACCAAACTGCCGTTCGTGGCAGCGCATTAGTTATCAGGAGATAACATAAATGCATAAAAAAAAAATCCATAGCTGTTCTCTACCGTATCAAAATACTATTTAGTTATACATTTATTATTTATTTATACAATTTTAAATATTGCATCAATCTTATAAGTCTAGGCTCAGTTATATAAATAAAATATAAGTAAAATGAACTTGAACACAGATGGGTTATGAGGGTCATTTCTTTTTTCCCCATTTTTTACAACTAAGACCCTCTTGCCTATACCCATAATACCTTGGTGAGACATTCTCTGGTTGATGAGCTGAAAGGGCCGCAGCTGAAAGATTTGCACACACATTTCCTCTTTCTTTGTAATGAAGTATCACGTCAACTTTGATGTCACAGTTCATTCATATGTATTATGTACTAATGTACTAAGAATTCAGACACAGCTATTTCACATGTGGGGAAAATGTATAACCATATTCTAAATTTTTCCTGCATATTATTTTTATTTCATGTATTTGTTTTTCTTTACACTTCCACTTTTGTATACTGTGTTTACATATGCAATACAATACAATGTCAGAGAGTTTCATGTTTTTAATGATGCTAAGTACAAATACTGTAAATGGCTCCGATGCTTTATCAGTCACAAAGTAGAATCAAACATACAGCATTGCAGTTCTAATCAGATGACACTAAAACATGCTTTCAGGAACTGAGAGAAGGAAGAAATGTGTTTGTCTTTAGTATATTAAAACATGTCAAAATTAACATGAAAGGAAATTATCTCATCCTGCACATGACAGCTTGCATGACCTTTGCTCCAGGACTGATGTCTTTAGTCTCACATATTCCTGCTGGTAGGCCTGTGCTGCCCTCTGGCTTTGGCCCGTCTACTGTCCTCTTGATGTGGGAGGTCAAGGTTTTATTTCATGGGTGAACTATGTGTATGACAGAACTCCAAACATCAGATCAAACCTTTCTCAGCACTGGAACCTTTTCCACCATTGATCTATACTTTCCATGTGTGTCGAGTCTGTCAAGTCAGGGCTGACACTCATGTCGTACACGCTCTCTAACCTCCCAAACTAAAAGCTTTTTATAAGAAGTAGGAATTGGTCTATACCTTTCATGCTTTTAACACTTACATGCAAAATAATTAGAAGTGGAGTTCAGAAGAATAGTCTCCATGATCTCCCTACATTATCTTTGGGTCGCGACTGCTGTGTTATCCTGGCTATTAAGAAGAGGGGGTTGCACTCAAGAATATATCATTCAAGACGTTTACTTAAAACATCTGTCTGCCATTACACAGAACATTTTTGGCCATCCAAGCTAACAGGTGAGCACTATCACCTATCACTGATAGCATGTACAACTTTATTGTGTATCACATATGGCTTCGATAATGAATGATGTATCTTTTGGAAGTTAAGGATCCCATGTCTGATCCCTTAATGTTTTTTGCCAGCTATCAATTGGTTTGAGCTTTTTTATGAATACTGAGAAGTTTGAGGTCAACATTTTGGGTGGGTTAGGGTTAGGGTTAGGATTAGTTAGAGATTAGTGATTGCTTTTAACTGTTAATTTACCTGGCATCAATAAAGTCCCCCTCCAGTCAAAAGTGTGTTTTTCTTTTTGATCCTACAGTGTGATGTTTGATCTTCACTGTGTGGCACTCTCTTCTTTATTTACTCACACTCCTTCCCCTTGTCATATTGGCTTTCAGTCAGTTAAATCTTTACTGGATTTCAACTACACATCAGACGGTGTCATGTTGTGGTTAATGCGTTCACTGCTCTCATGCAAATGTGTAACTTTGTTTTCAGTCTTGTTGATCAAGTAAGGGACATCAGACTAGTTTAGTATTCTGTCACCATGATGTTAATTTATTTCAGTGCTGTTTGCTGCTCCACACTGTTTGAGCAAAATAAATTTTAAACCACTCTTTCAATAGAATGTAATTGTCTAAAGACAGCTAATGAATTGGAAAACAGGTTAGACTGAAACTGTTTGAAAATGATTAGCCAGCTGTTTCATCCTCAAAGAGAGCAACTAAAACCCATCAAGGACGAAGAGCGACTTAACACAGGACAAGCATGTAAAATGGTAAAATGCCATAATGAATGCTCAACACCTGAAATATCTAGAATTCTGGGCTATGACCATCGTGCCATTAAACACTTTACATTAAATGCAAAAACAGAACACAACACTACATTCATCTCCAGGTTTGCAGGATCTGATCTAAATTCTTTGTCCTTATTTTTGTGGTGAAGCTAGAAAAAGGTGTGGTCTGAAAGTAAAAGATGGGCTCATGTTGGAAGGAAATATATATTATTTTTTTTATGGATTGTCTCATTTAATCCACTTTATATATTCACAGTTTCACAGTTTTGTTATTTGTGTCAACTATATACAGGAGAAGAATGTAACATGACATTAGGAGTCTTTATGGTAAAAAAGGCCAGAAAACAAAAATGTGACAAACCTAACATTACTTGTTAATCTTGTTTTGTTGTGTGTCTTTTGAATAGGTACTAATGTGTAATCTATTTAACAACTTTACGATGTCCAAAGGTGATGTAGATGTTAATGATCAGGTTTATAGAAAAGGCTGCGGAGCTTCAATTCTGTCCTTCTCTGCAGAGAACTGTCTCCAAGAGTGCAGCAATAGTGCTCCACTAATAGTGTATACATTGTATGAAGTTTTCTATGCGGGTGAGTAAATTAACATTTTTCATTGCATTTATAAGTGATCCAAAGTGTTCTGTACTTCTGTCACCTAAAAGCAAATCTAAATCTATTCTTTTAAGGAGCCATAAGCATGGGGGAAATGAAGTTTGAAAAAATTCTGGAGGAAATTGGCGGTTTTGGGCCTTTCCAAATCGCCATCCTTATCTTGCTGTCCGTCCCTCGAATAGTTCTGCCCTGTCACTTCTTACTGAATAACTTCATCGCTGGGCTGCCACCTCACCGCTGTGACATCAGCACCCTGGATGATGGAGGACACTTCGGAAATTTAACTCAGGAGCAGAGACTGACCATTAGCGTTCCTGTACGAGAAGATGGAGAGCCAAAATCCTGTGAGATGTTTGCAGAGCCTCAGTTTCAGCTCTTAGCCAACAGATCCAGCAGCGCTGATCTGCCAACAGTTCAGTGTCAGAGTGGATGGGTTTATAACAACTCCACCTTCACTTCCACACTGGCAACAGAGGTACAATGCCCGACTTTCTTCATATTATTTACACACATATAAATCTCTATATTGCATTTATAACATTATAACAGCATTTATCATGCAGTTTCTATGAATGGCAATCTTTGTATTTTGCATTGCCTATCTTTTTTGGGACTTTAATGTAATAAATTCCCTCTGGCAGGACATACATACAATTATAGAGAGTGTACTTGATATTAACATCCTGTAGGTCCGATGTACTATACCTAGGCCAAATACCTGTAAATATGCCTTTAGTAACAATAATAATAAATATTTGTTTTAAATAATTTTTGCTGCAAGTAAGAAAACTATAACAAGAAAGTGGTTACAGCCTGAATCACCTATATAACAAGACATTTGTGAAATTGTGAAGGATATTTATGTCTTGGAGAAATTAACCTTTTTATTTAAAGCTGTAAGCATGCAGATTTTGGTCCATATTGGACCAAATGGATCCAATACTTGTGCAATTGAACCTGTCTATTTCATTTTATGAATGTTTTTAGGATGTAAATAATAGACTAAATGAACTCCCTACCATTCCACCATCTGTCATCTAAAGGAAATCCTGATGTTCTTGTTGTTTGTTTTTCAATATGTATGTTTTATTTAGTTTTGATTTCTTTTTTCTTTTTAGTCTTACAGATTATGCTTATGTATCTACAAAAACATGAGTGAGTAATGATAAGAAAGTCAATTATGTAGAAACAGGATGATGAAACTAAAGAACTAAAAAAAAAGAACGCCATATCATATAACATACATGTAAATGTGTTTTATGATTGCATTTTGCATTTGCCCAAAAAAGGCTTAAGTTTTGCAGTCTTGGTTAAAAAAAGTTGAAAGTGACTTGAAGCAACATTTTCTGTAAACCACAGGAAACCATAGTTTTTTTATCATGTTTATGAGATGTTGTATTTACCGCATCAGGGCCATCCTATATATAAGAAAACAGGCCTAATAGATAATCCAATTGCCTCTCTCTGTGACCACTCTCTTTTTCAGTGGGACCTTGTCTGTGATAGAAAAAGCCTGACAAAAACCACAAGCACAATCTTTTTTTTTGGAGTGATGTTTGGAGCCATAGCTTTTGGATACCTCTGTGATAAGTACGTGTATAAAAAGTGTCTCCAACATATTCATGATAAAGTGAACATCCAGTAGCTCCCATTATGGTGGTATTGATGTTAACATTTTATATTTTTCAACTATCAACTAAAATGATGTCACAAATGTCCATCTTCATGTTTATTTTACTGTCTTAAATGTTCTTATTATTCTTATTTGTAGGTATGGGAGGAAAAGCACTCTTTTGGTGTCGTACATCATGGCGATTGTGTTTGGCTTCTCCAGCGCGTTTGCAAACTCCTACGTTCTGTTTGCAGTGTTGAGATTTCTCACTGGGTTCGGATTGACAGGAATCAGTGTCAACTCAATAGTTCTCAGTAAGCTAACACAGTAGCTGTCAACCTTTTTGGTGTCAAGGACCCTCAAATTGATACATATCAGGCCACGGACCTGGGAACCAGTATACCACTTTTAATTGCCTGTATGATATGAATTTTTCATATAGCGCCGTAACCTTGCATAACTGATACAAATGCTACTTAAAAGGTGATAGTATGTTAATATGTAATGTGTGTGATTCCCAGCCCACAAATGGCCAAAAAAAATTGTTATTGCAAGTTTAAAATTAATTAAGTCATAAATTGTTCAACCAAACTTAAAATCAAAATATAGTAAAGTTAATGTATTTTGTCTTGCAGGCATTGAGTGGGTCGACACAGGTCATAGGTCATTTATCGGTGTGATTGGCAGCCTGGCTTGGTCTGCAGGTAACATGCTGCTTGCTGGATTTGCCTTCATGGTAAATGACTGGCGGACACTGATCATGACTGTTACAGCCCCACTAGGATTTGCAGTTTTGACCTGGTGGTAAGTGAAGCACATACATGTTATACATATTGTTATTCATTACAAAATGAATAATAAAAAAAATGTCACCCTGTACAGCTGAGTTCAAATGGTTCTAAATAAATACATTATGGACTATATATTGAAATATGTATTACATCGACAAACATTTCTCCAATCACTTTAAAATTTTTGGAGTAGGAAGATTTTTTTATGTGATTCGATTATATCCTAATTTATCTGACCAACCTACTTTTTTAAATAATTCTTCTGAAAATAATTGCAGGTGGATTCCTGAATCTGCCCGATGGCTTTTAGCCAATGGGAAAGTGGAAAAAGCCCACTTTTACCTTGAAAAATGTCTGAAGTTCAACAAAAGAGAAAAACTGTCATCCAAATTAAAACTGGAAGTAAGTTTAAAACCTCGCTTTGTTTTTATTATTATTATCAGATGTACTTCCACATATCACTTAAAAGATACATTCACATTCATTCAAGTCTAAACAATTCCCATATGCCCATATGTATGTTGAAAGAGTTGTTGCTCTGTGATGAGATCCTGAAGTGATCCACATTTCACACATCCACATGAAGTCCACATTACTCTGTAGGAGCAAAACACAATTGCCTCAGTCAACTCCAGCTGAATTTTAACATTTATTTTTACACACAAGGACAGTGGATTTTGCCCCTCGTGATTTACATTAAAATTGCTTTAGGAAGGGATCACTTCATGACCATTATTGACAGGAGGAATTATTACAGTGACCAATAACTCTTTCAATGACTTGAGAAAATGTGAACCTAACCTTTAACATTGCTTCTCTACCTCTGTACAGACACTCTCCAGCATAGAAGTACCTGAAGAGCAGGACAAAAACTACAATTACCTTCATCTAATTAAGACCCCGAAGATGAGACAGTTAACTCTACTGACTGGGATTGTGTGGTGGGTATCACATCCAACAATACCTACAAAGACATACAAAGACATTTAAATGACCTGTCTTGATTTCAGTAGTACAAAATTCCTTTAAAGTATTTGTATTTTAAATTGCAATGTCTGGTTGAATCTCCTTCAATAGAATACATACACATAGAGGTATGGAAGGGGGCAAACTTTAGTTACAGAAACAGCAATAAGCAATGATGTGTTGTTCATCGTACTCTGCAGGTATGGAGTGGCCTCAACATATTATGGAATCAGCCTGAACATCAGTGGATTTGGATTGAACATGTACCTCACACACTTCATCTATGCAGCCATAGAAGTCCCTGCCAAGCTGATGGTCTATTGTTTTCTGAACATCATTGGTCGGAAGAAGTGCCAAGCTGGAACGCTGTTACTGACAGGAATCTGCATCGGCATAAACATCTTTATACCAAAAGGTTGTGCACGTCTTTCTTTTAGATTTTCCTGAAATGACTTAAACACATGCAAGCGAGCCATTTTTTCTGCAGTTACAAAGCATTACATGTTTTATTAAATGTTTTTCCAAACCCCCTCGGTGGCGGATCTGTATCAGGACATGGAATACTTCCTACCACAGTGAAAGGAAACAAATTTGCCAAAAAAGCTACATAATAATTACATAACTTTCTAAGTTATTGAATGCAGTTTGTGTGGTGTTGCATCTCCACAACAGGATACTGTATGCACCTACACAAGGTCAACAGTCCATCACCAAACTTAGAAAACAGTATTTTTAGCCTCTGACTTGTGTTATGTAAATCTTATTTGATATGCACACATTGTACCATAATATGAATAGACAGTTGCTGAAAAAGAGCATGTATGTTCAGCCAGTGATGTAATGAGCTGTCACTCCACTTAAGGCCATACTGCTTGGATCAGAGGTAAAGCTGAAGAAGGTTCCAGATTTTAGGATAGTACAAGGACTAACTGTGACTGCGTTCTTGACAGCCACTTATCAGGGGACAGCATGGCTCATATGGCGCTCACTAAAGTTAACCCAAAAATTTTCAAGTCAAATTTTATTTATAGCCCGAAATCACAATTTGCCTCAAGGAGCTTACGTATGTACTGTACGGCATTCAAAACCCTCTGTCCTGAAATCCTTGATTGAGGAGGGATCCCTCTCCCAAAATGAGAGACATGCAATTTAAGTCGCGTGTACAGAACAAACCAACAAAATCACATTATATAAACATTTTGATGGAACAATTTCTGATATATGAAGAAAATATATAAGAAGAATGATGACGCAGAGTAAGCCATACAAAGTCCTCTCCACTATAAAAAGCCCTGGAAGAGTACAGGCCACAGAATGCATTAGCAAACAATCGCAAACATTGCCAGGTATCATTTTGATTATGCATGCCTTTCCTTGTATACAAGCCTTAAACTTTGACCTAGGACACATCTGCTTCCAGTTAATTTTATGCGGAGAGTGGAAGAGAGAGTTTTGCATGTTAAAATATGTCTAACTCACAGGAATTGTTCATAACAATGTTCCAAAGTACATGTACAGCTACTTGACCAAAATTAGGTAATACTAGAATTACACCACAAGAGGGAGCACAACTGCTTCTCTCCTCAGGTTCAAGAGCTGTATGAGGGAGGACACCTTCCTTTACTCAACTGCCATTCTGTGGAACTGGCTATCCATGAACATTAATATGATTAACTCTATAGTTAGTTTTAAGTCCTCATTGAAAACAAATTACTGAGTGGCTGTTAGTAGCTAGGAACAGTAGTTATAGGCTGTTAGGTCTAGCCTATAACTATATAATTTAATTCATTTTGTTACATTGCATAAAGAATATTGTAATTCTAAGATTTGTGATAAAGTATTTATTACGATGATGTTCCAGGGACCAGTTTTTTTGGGAGCAGTACAGTACTTTAACTGTTTATGGATTAATATATGATATATGTTGTACATTGTATTGTGACTGATTTGTCATTCCAAATTATGATTTAGAAGGTGCTAGCAACCTGTTGGCTACCTTCCCCCTTTCTCCAATATCTTTTTGTTTCAAGCTAATTGAATGTTTTACACACATATCTTATGTCCATTGCATATACTGCATGTGTTCTTTGTAGGTCTGTGGCATCTGCGTTCTGTAATTGCCATTCTTGGAAAAGGCCTATCAGAAGCTTCCTTCACAACTGTCTTCCTGTACACAACAGAGCTTTACCCCACAGTCGTCCGGTCAGTTACTACCATACAGTCGTATTAAGCTGCTACTTGCCCTACTGGACTTTTAGATGAAGTCAGTGGGTAAAATATTATGATAATATCATATTAATATAGGCCAAAAATATGTAAACGCAAGTTGTAAAAAGGATTTTTTACCCTTTTAAGTTAATATTGTTTTTTACTGTATTTAGATTTTGATTTAATCACAATGATGAATGATCTTTTGTTGTGTTATGTACAATGCTTAATCAGTTAAGTTCACCAGTTATTATAGTTATTACTATATAACTTATACTATATTATAAGTTATTTATTTTTGTACTTTTTTCCCTTTTTTGTCCACTATTTACAACTTTGGTCCAATTAAGACTATCCAATTCACTGAGACAGATCATTTTATCAATATTAATCATGTGGGACAAGCAAGGTCATCATATTTATTTATTTATTCTTAAGAAAATCACTGTATTAGGATACTGCTGGACCATCTGTCAGTCATTTTCAAGGAGACAGACACACATGCATCAAACGCAGATTTCCTCCTGTGCTCTGTATATTTTAGTTTTACACTATAATGTTAAACACAAATATTGTTTTAATAAGAAATGCGCTATGCTTGTTGTTTCTTACAGGAGTTTATTCTTGGGGTCCACAGGGAACCTTGTATGTTAAATATGTTGGTAGTATGAGGGTAATGTAAGTTCTCATACTTTACCTTCTGTGTCACCAGACAAAATGGTCTGGGATACACCAGCTTCATAAGTCGTCTGGGAGTATCAGTGGCTCCGCTCATCCTGCTGTTGGAGGACGTGTGGACTCTTCTTCCTCAGATTATCATCTGCTCTGTGGCCATCATTTCTGGCCTTGTGTCTCTGCTGCTTCCAGAGACACTGAATGTGAGGCTGCCAGAGACAATTGACGACATTGAAAAGCCCAGGTTGGTAAATTAATGCATGACAGCCGCAATTTGTGAAATTTGGAAATGTCTTTGGCACCACTTTAGAGCCATCTGGAGGTAGAACTGAGAATGACACTGAGACACAGAAATTAATGCAGATTCTTCTGAAAAACATCCTGACTTTGAACACATTTACAAATCATTTACAGAAATGAAACCCCACACAACGTTCAAATACAAACCTGCTCCAATACGCTCAGACACCTGTCATCTCAGCATTTCCATTGGATTATGTAACATAACAATGAGATCAAATAAAATAGGCCTATTTTATAAGGAGTACCACTGACACAGTAACATGAACACATGCAATCAAACACAGTCTAAAAGAAATAGTAAGTCTCACTGTTGGATAAGCTTTTAATGTTAAATATCTGTTTAGTATGAGTCAGAGATTTATTCATTCAACTCATGTTTATGGGCCACAGTTTGAGGTTAATTACACTGTATGTTACATTGTAAGGTGTATTTTTTTGTTTCATTTCAGACATAATGATGTCTCCTCTCACTTCATGGAGTCTTCAGCTGTCCTGGAAGCAAAGAGCACCACAGGCACCAAGCAGTGAAAAGACGAGTAAAACGAAGAAATACTCATACACATCATACAGAACTACCATACTGCCTTTTGCAAATATTAACAGTGGAATTGAGCACACTGATAATGTATAGCACATCTTGTCTTCTCTGCTATTTGTAAGAAAACTGAGGTCAAAATTTTTGAGTGTTTATTACAGCTGAATATTGAAGATAATGTATTTATAAGGTAAAAACTGAATTAATTACACTTATCACTGTTTTATCTACAATTTGCTTTTATTTGTTGTTTTTGTGGTTTTTCAGACACCACCGATTGCAGTATAATGGAATAATAGGATTGCATGCTGGCAAATATTACATAAAATAAACTGAAAGTTATCAAATTTATTACACTTTTCTCTGCCATTAATTGAAGTACATATTCCAAATTCCATGGCAGTGCCCCAGTGAGTCACATTAAAATTGCTGCCAAATCTGAAAAACAAATATACTGTACAATCAACCAATCTCTACTACATTTCAAGTTATAAAGTTACAGTTAAAATTAAGTAACATTTCATTAGGACCAAAGAATAACTCATTAAAACAAAGTGTATGTGTGCAAGAAAATCTGAGTGTAATGAAATCTTTGAGTATGTTCAAATAAAGTGCATGTAAGAGTAAAAAGAAAAAGAGATTTGTTAGAGTGAAGGACAAATAAGATGTTTCAGGGAAGGTGTCGTCCTGATCACATTCACACAGTTAGACACATTCATACCTGGAAGCTGCCCTGTACAACCACTGCCCTGCTAGTCACTGGGCATATCAGTGGTGGTAATGAGGGAAGGGCAAGTGCTGCTTCTTTATTTCACTTCATTTTTTCACTTTCTCCCCAATCCAGCTTTATCCTGCCGGTCCAGAGAATCTAGCAGCCGACCTCCCGGTCATAAGCTCAAAAGTCACGCAGCCATAGCATTCAACTCAGGCAGAGCACTGGTTCATTTACATTACAATCACTGACTTATTCAGCAGCTGCTTGGCTACCAGCTGACCAGAAACATCCAATCATATTCATGGCAGTGTAAATTGACACTTCTCAGGCTCTGATGATGTCCTTGTGCCAGTGCTGTTTGCTGCCAAAGTTCTCTCCACCACCCCAACCATCTCTTTATGAGGCCATGCTATTGTTCCAATGGCCCATTATTCTGAAAACCCTATAGTCAGAAAAATGTCCCATTGGACCGAAAGCCCATCATCCTGAAAACAAAGCAAACCATTGCTCCAAAAATACCAGCCTGGTATAACTTACATAACTTCTTTAACTACACATGTCACATGCTAATGTACTTACTGGTATTTTAACCCAAACCATGATCTTTTCCCAAACCACACCAAGTAGTTTTGTTTCCTAAAACCAAACTGCGGCCAGCTCACAATGTTAACCACATGTTTGTTATTGTTACCAGACGTTACCAAGAATTTGCACAAAAATATCAAGGCCAAAAATCTCCAAGGAGAATGAGTTTCAGAGCAATGGGCCTCTGGGTAACAATCTGTTGGACAAATGGGCTGTCGGTTCAATGGGACATTTTGCGGAATAATGTGAGTATTAGAATCCCCCTCCTCCTTAAAGTCTGGTCTCCACAGTCTCAGCCACAGTATCCACAGTGGGTGCAGTGTTCTTTTTCCGACTTGAGCTTCTGCGACAGGGCAGCGCCTGCAGCACTTCTTTGAGCCCTTTGGTCATGAATATGTAGAGGAAAGGGTCGACTAGAGGGCTGAGGAAGAGCAGTAGGTGAGACACCAGCCCCAGGTATGTCACTATCTCCTTGAAGGACAGAGCCTCCAAGAGGACGCTGAGGATGAAGGGGACATAAAGAAGGGTGTAGTTGACCCAGATTGCACCAATCCCCCACACTGCCCTCTTCCTCTCAAGGGTCGAAGGGTTGGATCGGGAGCAGATCAGAGCCCTCCAGGAGTCCACGGCAAAGAAGAGGAGGAAGGGGAAAGGAGAGAGCAGAGACACTGCAAAATAGAGTTTGTACTGTAGCACAACGAGGGCCAGGACGCCGAATGGAGTAGCCCATGCCGCCAAGGTGACTGCAGGAGACTGCCTGATACGGGTACAGCAGCCAAGACACTGAGGGTAGGCCACCAGGAGATGGCGCTCCTGAGCTATGAACAGCATGAGGGTGACATTGGAGATGACACCAAAATAGAAGATGAAGTCTGTGGGGTTCGATGAGAAGACAGTCCCACTCGCCATGTCCTGGTTTACGCTGGGACGACCAAAGAAACTGATAATGTCAGAGACCAGGAGGAATATGACATGCATGGGAATTTTGTTTTCACCTGGACAAAGAACAGAGGAACATTGATGATTAATAGGCTATACTGATACTTGATCTTATTTGTAAATGAATTTTTAAAAAATGAAAAATGTGCTGCTGCTGACACTGTGCTGATTATTACTACTACGACTGCTAGTACTACTGCATTACCACTAATATTAATTATATTACTACTGACAGGCATACTGATACTACTGATGCTGATACTTTTAATAGTGCTGATACTGGAACTACTACAACTTCTGGATGCTATTAATGCTATGATTTTATACCATTACTGGTACTAATGATAATGCTTCTGCCACCCACCCAGCCTTTTGTGTTGCATTTTTCTTACTCTATCAAAGTTCTTTATGACTGTTGGAGCTGAAACTGTTTTAAGGGCCAAATACAGCCTCACTTGAACACTTACTAAAATGACAGTATGTGCAAGGATTATTTGTGTATTAAATGATAAAACGAAAAACACCAACTATATCAAGCCAAGACCAACTGGAATTGCAGTTTTGTTTTGTTTCGGGGTGCTACCGAGCTAGTCTAGCACAGATCAAGCCAAGTCCCTTAACACCCCCTCATCCTACTTTGGTTGATTCTCAGATGTGTGTAGGAGGTGGTGGTATGTTAAATGATTGGTGTTGGAAATATAGCAGAGTGAGTACAAACCTTTGGACAGATTCTTGAGGGTGTAAATAGCCAGTGCAATGGCGGGCAGCCCGATGCTGAACGTCACCCACTTGATCACATTGGCTACCTGGACAACGGTGAGCGTGGTGTTGTTGCCAGTGAGGTTTCCAGTGGCATTGAGGACGGGGACAGTTGTTGTCACTGTGTTGTTGTCAGCCATAAGAGGCCACACAGAGGCTATTTATGTGTTCAGCTGTTCAGATTAGCATTGAGATGGCCAGAGTGTGTCGCTCAGTTGATGTTATGGATGCATTTGGTTTTAACGGAGACCACCTTAGTCTAGTTTCAGTCAAAACAAAGGTGTATCATGAGAAAAGAATTAGCACTAAACAGTTGTGTATCTTAATTGTGAACCGGTTAAGAAAGATTGCAGTGTATTTTTTGCTTTGAAAGCAGACAGGCATGTTCAGTTATCTGTCACCCATGAATGTAGATATCCAAACTGGGCATAAAGTGTCAGACCTTGATCTGGCACTACTGGATGGTCTTTTTTTCAGATTTGGAATGTTGAGTTTGTTTTTTAACATGATATCTACAAAATGTTTTTATGGAAAAGTGAGACAAAAAATATCGTGGTGATCTATTTTCTAAGTCTGCTACACACTGCTTTCTCTCCTGTGTTTATGGCTGAAGAAAGGCAGTGCTAAAACATATTAGAATATGGCTGAAGTGCACCACTATCCCATGTTGTAAATATAAAGAACTAAAAGCGTTAATTTTTTCTTCCAGATTCATGTTAATTTCACCATGCCATGCTAACATTACAACATAATTCACAACAACAAGAAAACACAATCAGGAGAGAAAACAAGTTAACTCAGACTTAGAAAATGGATCACCAGAATTTTTTTTTTTTTTTCACTTGCTCCTTGCCTTATTGCCTGCAGTAATCTTGTTCCTGACCACTAAGGGGCAGATAAACATCAAAACAAGTTGACAGACACACAGCCCTGACATATTATCACCTTACTAAGTTATTATGGGAAACATGTTATCAAACAGCTACCTTTGTACACACATGACACATTTGAAGTTATGTTTGTGTCCACCTGAATAATAATACTTAAAAAAAATAATAATAAAACTAGTCTAATATTTTTTCTCCTTTTAGCTCTGGTTTAACTCTCTAAAATATCTGGCTCTCTAGCTGCTAAAAGTTCTACTTTCCTCACCAATGACTCTAACTGTTCCTGTTGTTTGGTGCTGAGCAAGTAGGGTAACGCAGCTTTTATCAGAGCTTCTTTGATAAAAACAGCTGCAAGCGGCTGCTGGTAAAATGGTTTATGAGAGACACCAAGTAAGTGTGCCATATTAACCGAACTATGAGCCAAAATACACTAAAAAGCACTGGTAAGGATTTCAGCTCTATGGTTAATTGATGTTGATGTAAATAATAATAATAATAATAATAATAATAATAATAATAACTAATTAATGCATGTTTAATATTCCTTTCATCATGACAGACAGTTTTACATATCCACATCAGTTGAAGCCAATGAGTCCATCTTCATTTCTCACATAAGTAAAACATTTTCAGGTTTTGTGGTCTCTCCTGTTCAAGGGCCCAATTTCTTTTCAGCCTCATTTTAATTTCCAAAGCACATTAGTCATCTTATCAACCTTTATCTTACCTTAATGTTCATATGCGAAAAAACCTTCAGTTGTCATTCCACCTTGTATACTTCTGAAAAATAGATTAATGGCAACTCCTGTTCAAATATATCAATTCCCACGTACAGTGTGAGAGACAGTTTGTCTGTCTGAATATCAAATGACATGCTTGTGTGTGTTTGCATCAGGTATTATTGGAAACCATTTATTGCTCTGAGCCTTCTTATCTCCACAGAGCTCAGCTGGCTGCTTTGAATGAAGCCTGGATGCGCTGAATATTCTCCATTGGTTTACATGGTTCGTTCGCTGTGCTCAGGGTAAAGCAGGGAGTGAATATTTGCATGAAAGACCAATGTCAATATATGGCAACAGCCTTTATCTTAACTTTATTCCTGTATGTTTCTGTGGCTCTACACAAAAGAGGCACTCCATACACATGCAAATCAATTTACGTTTCATAATGAGCACCACTTAGCCTGTGTATGACGTCTTGTTTGGTTCTAGAGAAGTTTGTCAAGTCAAGCAAAATAACCCTAATGATGTCATCTGTGTTATCTTTTTTAACAGAAAGCCTGTGTTACAGACTGGAGGTGCAGAGTCTGAAAGACAAAAGACACTATCGAGTTACATAATGGGAATTGTAGGATCCAGCATTTTATGTATTGTTGGACTAAGGACTATTTTCCAAGTACTGCAATTCTCCATTGTGTCTGTGTTATGTGTGCTAAAGTAGTCTGGACAGCATGTCCAAAATTATATGAAATTGCTTAGGGTGACATCTCCATATGACACCTATCCTCTTCTAAATAGGAAATAAGAAGAAAATGCAGTTGTTAGCGCTCAATGCATTTTGGTGAGCAATAGTGAATGTAAACACATTTGTTGTTTTTTTTTTTCAAGATAAGAGCACCTTAAAATGTCTAGGATCTATTGGCAGAAGTCCACTCCAGAAAAAAAAAAACACTTGGTAAACATTTCAAACTGTCCACAGGGATGCTAGGTTGTAATCTGAAGTACTTTGTAATCTAAAGAATGTGATACTGAACTGAGAGTGGCGACCCAATGGTTAAGTACTGAAGGTGTTGGCCTCAGTGTTTGGAAACTGAGTCACTGAACAATGTTTCCTGTTGTGGCACAGTTACTGAACAATACAGATGAAGCCACAGCCAGCCCCATAGGCTGAATTTATCAACCAAAGGCAATAAATAAACAGCTTTTAGTCTTGTTGAAAGTGTCGCTCTGACACATGGACATTTCATGGCCACTGGCATGCATGGAGCCGCCTCATAAACAGTGAAATGAAAACATGACATAGCAGACTATATACAGTATCTGCAAATACACAACCAGCAATGAATCATTACGAGTGACAATTGGGATCGCATGGAAAACAGAAAAAAAAAAAAAAAGAATTATGAAATTAAAGGCCTAATACAAATATAATTCTGAAATAAAATGAATGAAATAATAATTAAATAAAGCATTTTAACGTTACCTCAAAAATCTAGGTGACACGGAGCAAAGGGCCACAGGTCGGAGTCAAACCATTGACAGTATGGCGGCTGCAGCAAGGTTTCAGCATTGGTCATGAGGTGCCTGCTCTAACAGGTTAGCTACCAGCTAATATAAATGGCAACAATTTATTTTTCATGCGGCCCCAGTCCTCTTTCTCCATTCAGTATTCAGTTAGTTTTCAGATTGGTAAAAGAGGTCTTAAATGATCACAATAAAGGGTAAACAGTGTCCATGTACAGTCTCTTTACAGACTAGATAATAGACACGTGTTAAAAAGGTTGTTAACTGCCACCAGCCATTTTAGACTGAAGTTTATTGAAAAAGATGCTGTCAACACATTACAATAAGGGACACACATTTTGAGTAGTTAACAGGGAATGAATGACAAATCAGGGTTGACTTGATAAGTTCTGAATAATTATCAATGAAGGACTATATAATAGATAATGAAGAGTTACCAGAGAACAAACTGGTAGATGCCATGTTAATGACACATTAGGTAATGGTTAGTTTGTGAATATCTGTGAATGGATCATACTGACCACTTTCTTCATCTGACCCAGCCAGTGAATGGCAAAAAACTAGTAACGACTCATTCATTAATAATTGATTAAACATTAGCGACTGTTTCTGTGGCCCCTAAAGTAGAGTGATGCATCATACTGAGTACTGAATCATTACTTCATCATTATTAATGATTAATGTAAGTGATTCAGTACTGTACTCTACAAAATAACTTCTACATAAACTACATAAGCTACAAAAACTATTAAATTACATGAATCATTTATTATTTCCTTTGGTATTTGTGTCATATACAGATAAGCAACGATGATTGCTGGATAATATGATAATATGAATGTTGATGTTTTCCAATGAAGGCAACTGCTTTTATGTTTGAAAGGCATGTCTGCTTGTTCTGATTACCATCTCAAATTACCCAGCAACCATCACTGCATATCTGCATATGACAAAAAAAGAATACATTTCTATTCATTTAATTGAATAGCTTTTCATAGTTTGTATAGTTTGTAGAATAAGCATATCATGTTATTAAAGATTGCTACTACAAAAAAATGACAGAGATGAGTTTTTCAAGAGCATTTATAGCACTATTTTTGAGGGGACAATTTTAATAACTTGTATTAATCATTAAATATTGCAGTAATGATTCAGTACTCAGTAACCACTCAGTATGATGCACCACTTTCCTTAAGGGGCCATAAAAACAGTCATTAAAGTTTAGGTAATTGTTCTGCTACAAAATCCTATAAACTGGACCTTTAAGGCATGACTAGAAAATATTTTGAAATGTTAAATAGGCTCAAAGAGAATTTTCAAGACTTTTCTTTTTTCTGTATGTGATCAAGAACAATGTAGCGAGAGGATGGTTGGACTCGCTGTTATCTGACACTTAATGAAAAACCAACATTAGCCTAATGTGTCAGTGTGATCCTGGTGTGGTGACTAATGAATCAACTAAAACTGTAAATTTGCTCTGAGAGAACTCATACTGGGGTAGATAAATTGTGAGCACATCAGCGCCTGCTCACCCTGCTGTCAGCCATTCAGGTCCTCTGACATGCAAAAACACATCAAAGCTCCATCCTTCTGCTTCATAGTTCACTTGTTGAGCTGAGAGGGGACTTTAAAATACGTTGAACGCCCCTCGGCTCTTTTCACTGTGTCTTTACAGACAATCTGTTCAGGTCCTGCTACAGTTGACCTGTGCCCAGCAGGATGCTCAGAGAAACAGAGCTATTGTTTCTTCTTAAAACATCATGGGAAAAACAGCATGGTGTTGTTGGTGGTGCGGTTAGAATAACCTGCTGACAAAATGAATCCTGCAGATTCTGTGTCCTGAGATGTGTTTATGATTGTCTTATGTTACATTTCCTATGTAAGCCAATATTGTTTTTTATATTAAGGGCCTATTTGTATTTGACTTAAATGGAGGGGTTTTGAAACAAGGAGTTTTGAACTGTGTACGAAACAGTGTCAGTTTAATACTGTTGCTTCTTTATGACCTACATAAGCAAAGAAAACCATCAACAAGGAGATAAGCTGTTTCTAATTAGTTATTCTTAATCCACCGGGTTGGATTCCCCTTGAAATCAAGGTGCTAGAAACACTACTCCACTACACCACTTTTTTCCGCAGGGGCCGGCAGAATCAACATGAAATTAAAGACCCTTGATGCTGCTTTAAAACCAACAATTATTACTATGTCTAAATAATGTGAAACTGACCTCCTGGTATTTTAGTTTGCAGTACTGACAAAGTTTATTTATGTGCATCCGTCTCGCCTTCCCCCGGCTCAGCAAGTGAGAGATCAGTTCCTCCAGACTGTGACAAAAATAAAAGCCCTTGAAATGCAAATTCTGAAAATGAGAGTGTTTAATGTTTGATGTCAACGCATGAGGCTGAATAATTTTACCAGGTGAATGTAGGCATGTTAGTAAGTTTTATAACCAAGGCCACAGCCGGGATTTTAGAAATACTGATGTCATGTTACTTTAATTTGTTAAATAGGGGCCATGACTTCTATGTTAAATGCCTAAAAAAGGAACTCTCTTTTATCTTTTTACAACTTTCCACTCCAGTCACGTATTTCCCTTTTTTTTTACTCATGTCTCTGTATTTTACTCAAACTCATTCTCCCTTATCAAAACCCTTCTGTTTCTTTCCCCCATATATGTTCATGTGTTTTGTGTGTTCATCTTCACTTCTTCTTTTTCTTTATAGGAGTCTGTGTCCTTCCAAAGCAGCCTCTGTTAAAGTTAGCTAGATGATAGACTTAAAACTAACAACATTAATAATAAATAAAGCAATTAAATAAATAAGTAGGTTAAGTGTCTACTATCTTTTTCCAAAGCTCTCAACTGAATCTCATTGGTGGACAGTTTGTTCAGTTATCCTAAATTCGGTCACTTGATAATGTTGAATCAAAATGTATCATTTCTTTTAAGTTTTCTATAATCATGTATTATTGTGCATTTGACTATGAGCCAATGAGTTGTTGTTCTCAGTACACCTATGACCTGAATAACACTGATGTATGATACATTAGATAAATTTGTGTGTGAGAAACTTGCTTTGCTGCTTACGAAAAGATTAACCAACATTTACCTGTGACACTCCTTTTTCTCTCTTCCTGAGCTCAAGGCTGAGATGACCCTGAACATGTATTCCCAAAATTACAAAAACTGACTGCTTCGGCACCTCTGGGTCAGACCTTCAATTTACACTCAGCTGGAGATAAACTGGCTGTTAGTCTTTTATTATCCTGCTTTATTAAATAGACTAAAGACAACTGTGTATTGTACCATCATTTATTATCATTATTTCTCCATAATTCCCACTACAGTTAACAGATGGTTGTATATAAGGAGGCAGGCCGTATTTTAGGACTAACCTTGGTGAAAAACACATTGCCTTTCCTCTGACTTTATTGTGAAGCAGCAGCAGTAGGAAATGGGATATAACCCAAAACAGTAATGTTGTATTTCACGGTGCATGCTTCCAGTGAATCCCAATTAGAGGTCAGAAATGGCGACCCCGTCAATAAACATGAAAACTACTGTGCTATATAGTCCCTGGAAAAAAAAAAGCCAGCCACATAGGCCTCCTATAAAAAGCGGAATTTGACAGCATTCAAATATTGTGTTGCATATTGCAAAATATTATTCTTGTCCATTTAAACACACACATATACGCTGTAGGCTATATATAAACGGAATGCTGGCATATGGTGTTTCACCTTGACGGTTGACTGCTGCGGGTTATGTGCAGTTCCATGCGCCTCCACTGCGCTTCAGATCATTTCCTCCATGAGTCTTCATGCAGCAACAGGGAGGGATATGCTGTATCATCCATCCCGACAGACGCTCGCTCCTTTAGTTGCAATCCTGCAGCTCCATCATGGCTCTCAACATCCCCGGAGTGGCTGTAATGCTGTTCTTCTACCTGCTGGTCCTCGGCATCGGCATATGGGCTTCCATCAAGTCCAAAAGGGAAGCCAAGAAGGGCCATGGGGATAAGACGGAGATGGCGCTGCTGGGCAACCGGGGCATCAACCTGGTGGTCGGCATCTTCACCATGACAGGCGAGTAACTGCGCTAAAGGAACAGGACAACATGGATTCATCTTGCTCTTTCATTTTTTGATAAGATCCTCTGCTTCTGGTAGTGTTTTACTGACGATATTGTGCCTCTCAACAGTTTGCCTGTGTGTCCCTGCGATCTAAATGATGTAACATTAAATCGATCTCTCTTGTTGAGTCTTAAAATCTTGCTGTTGTTATAATAGCCTAATGATGATAATGAGGATGATAATAATGTCAATCATTCGAATAATAATAAAATAAAACATATAATAAAACAGGAGAAAACAACACGTGCAATGCAGTTTCACATTACTTCAGCGACAACTAAGCAGCCTGATGGGTCCTAACGAGACAACTTTCAATTTTAGGGCTGCTAGAAATTCTGTAAATATATATTTTTAATCGGCCAATAGTAACTGATTTGAATCGTCTTTGTTTTTTTTCATGCATGGGACAAAACCAATAGAAACTGTATAGAGGAGGAACCTACAAAAAAGAGGAAGTTAAAATGGTTTAAAATAAGCTGAGTCAATGATATAGAATATAGCAGGAAATGTGTCAGTACATTTTTTGAAACTCTGCATTATTCTTAAGGGTGTCCACTTTTTTATTTTATAATAATGACTCACTTGTTTCAGCTCACATCGTGGAACCACTTTAAGGACATGGACATTCTAAAATAATTGGCCATTAAATGTACAGTAAATTCCTATTTAAATTTAATAAAGTTACAGTAGACAGACTAGTTCCTGTTATCAAGTTACAGACGTGCAGGTTTGGCACAAGCAGCTGCCAACCAACCAGCTACTGTTCTCTGCTTGTAAGTGAATCTGTGTGTGTGTGTGTGTGATACAGCCACGTGGGTTGGAGGTGGATTCATCGTGGGCACAGCAGAGGCAGTGTACAACCCCTCCATGGGACTGATCTGGGCCGTAATGCCAATCGCAGCAACCCTGTGTTTCATCATTGGTGAGATTTACTTTTAAAGTTGTGTAACAGGAACAGGTATTACACAGGGGTTGTGCGTATTAAAGGGAAAGTGTATAGATCTGGATACAAGTGCCCCCTAAAGGCTTTAATGCAAATTACACACCACACTGGATGGATAAAAATCACAAGCTGTGCAAAAATGTAAAGTCTGTGCTGATGGTCAACTGTTCTTTTTAGGAAAACAACAGCATCTTCTGTTAAATTATTGAAACAATTTACATTTTCCTTGTGGTTTATGTGAATAATGTCCTCTCTAAGAAGCAAAGGCGGGCCACTTGAGTCAAGTCAGAGACAAGTCCAAATCCGAGAAGTTTGGACATTGACTTAAAAAAAAAAAAAAACCCAGTGCCTACTAAATATTCTTCACAGTGTTGTGTTACTGTTGTTTATTGCAAGAGTCTCCAACCACCTAGTACAGTCCTTTGGATAGAAAAGTCTGAAATGTGACAGGAACAGGAAACCTTCCTATAAATGATATGATTATATGACATTGCTCTACACATTTCTACATAAAACTACAGGTCTAAAATGAGTATGCTTGTTTGTTACATGTAAAATACATAATATGGATCATACGCGTTATGTGTTTGTAAATTCTAAATCATTTTGCATAATGGGAACTGACAGCAGAGCGGCCATGTTGATAGAAAAATATCTTAATACCAGACTTGAGCATAGGACTAACATGTTATTCTTGTATCACCACAAAATCTATAGGGAGGGTGTCAGGGTGGATGGTTGAATGAACAAAGCATGTGATCCAATCTTCCACTAATTATGGTTACAATCTTTTCCTAACCTCACCCAAATAGTTTTAGCTTACATTTAACCAGACCTTAAATATCCCCTCCAGACATGTATTACAACTTTTATACAAATAGTCTGCTTGGAACAATGTGTATCTGATATCTTTTATGAAAAGTTTTAAAATTTTG